GGATGTCTCCTTTGCTAATTAGCAGGCCTGCTGCCAACTCCTTCCTCAATAGGCCACAGTCTATCCAGCTGTGTTGCAGCCACTGCCTTACTAGCTTGCTGGAGCTTGCTCCGAGGTAGTCACTCACACCCGTGTGGCTACTGGCTGCTTACTTCCTTGCAGCTGGCTTTGGCTCAGCTGCCTGTATCAGTTTTCAGCTCTGTAATGCTGCCTGGCCCCACTGAGTAACAGAGGTAGGGGCCCCGATTACATAATTCCTTCAGCTCCATATATCCTTGCCCTCCCTGAATAGGGAGTTTCTTCCAAAGAAGTCATGGAGCCATCTAATTAAATAAGAAAGGGATGTCTACACTACGAGGTACTTGTGCATTCTGGTGCATAGCTTGTGAGCTCTGCATTCTGGTGCACAGCTTCTGGTGCACGGTTTAGACATGTATTTTTACATGCTTATGAGCCTGAGGTAGGGAAAGAGCACTTCCCCTATCCACAGTTTCTAGTCTAACGTGGAGAATATTCATTTCCCATATCCACCTCTTGCTTACTGGTACTGGTGTGTGATACCATCATTTCTTGAAGAGTATTAAAAAATCCTAGAACTATGCAGAATGTAGGCCTTTGAGGAACTAGTCTGTGGTGCACTGTAGGACATCTTTCCTTAATAGCCCCAAGGATGGAAATTATTTTAACATGCCATAAGTTTTTGTCAGCCCAGTATGCTGCTCACTTTTGTGCATATATAACTAATGGGTGGAACCATGGAGACTTTGGAGCAGCTTCTCCCAAATGCAGCCCTGTAATGCCATTGTTCAAGAAATGATGCAGGAAGGCCATTTTGGCAGAAATGTGAAAAGGTGTTGAACGTGGGTGAAATGCAAAAATGTAGAACTTTTGGTTCAGAGATGATGTCTTTTATTAGACCAACTGAGAAATTGAAAATATATATATATATTTTTTCTGCAAGCTTTCGGGCTCACATGCCCTTGATCAGGCTCAGGGAAAGTTGAAGTTGGTAAAAAGTTCCCATATGTAGGAAATAAACTTCATTTTTGCACAAAGGAAACCAAAGCTGGAAATCTGTCCTTCTGGGTCCATGAGACACACTCATGAGTTACTCCAGAGGGACAGATTTCCAGCTTCAACTTCTTCTGTGCAAAAATGAAGTTTATTTCCAACGTATGGGGATATTTTACCATCTTGAACTTTCCCTGAGCCTGATGATGAAGGGTGTGTGAGACCGAAAGCTTGCAGAAAAATGTAATTTTTTTTTTTTGCAATTTCTCAGTTGGTCTAATAAAAAGTATCTCTGAACCAAGAGTTCTAGATTTTTACATTTCTTTTTGTCTCAGACCAACATGGCTACCAACTATATCCCTGGAACATGGATGAAGCATACAAGGCAGATTTTTGTACACATGATGCACTATCTTCATGGGGATACCAGCATTTCTGGAGCAGAAGAAATAGTATGTTTTGGCAAGATTGTGTTATATTAGAAGACAAGAGATGATGAGAAATTCTAGTGGATGAAGCATATCTTCATAGACCTGTGTTAGGAGCTCACACTGACACTCTGGCACCACAGTACATGATTGAGGGACAGTACAGATTCATGTTGCTGAATGAGCCATCTAAAAGCTGGAGAGCTCAGCCTGCTACATTTTGGTGCTGGCAAGTGAACTCTCAGTCTCATAGTGGTGGTGGTGGGGGTGGCATAGAGATGCTACTCATGGAGTGGGATATGGGCATGTGAACATGTCTAAAGTAGGAGCTGCACTACAGGGAATGAGATTCTTGAACCATGTCACATCCTTAGAGTTTACGTGCCTGAAGGAACCAGTAAGCATGCTACATGTAAGTGGCAAACATTCTCTGATCCTGCAACTCTTGGTGGTCAACAGGGGCCAATTCATCAATATTCATGTGGGAAGTCCTAGCAAGGTGCAAAATGCCAGAGTTCTGAGAAAATCTGTTTGCTACATGCTTGGAGAAGCTGAGACTTTATTCCTACCCAATGGTAGCATTAGAGTGATGATGTAGCCATGATGGTCCAGAAGTGACATGAATGGCTAGGATTTGTTTGGGGTGATACCTTTTATTGGATCAACTGCATGATTGGAACAAATTTAGACAAACTTTCAAATGCAAGACATTCTTCATCAGGTCAGAATAATGAAGAATGTCTTGCATTTGAAAGTTTAACTTTATTCCAACTATGCAGTTGGTCCAGTAAAAGATATTACACCAGAAAATCCTTCCCACCTATTGGCACTGGAAACACCATAGTATGGTACATCAATATTCTGTTTCACTTTTAGCTGTTGCAGAAAGGATCTAGTTGGATCCTGGACACCAACAGATTCCTTGGTACAACTGTATTGCCCCCATAAGCCATATTGTCCCAAAGATGAAGAGATGTTATAGTTCCTCACATCCATGCACACACAGCAGTTTTAATAAGTAATTGATTGCTAATACTCATGCTGTTTTGCAGCTTGCAAAATACCACAGGTCATGTGGTACTGATACTTGTACTGATACTTGGATATTTTTTAATGCTAATTGAGCTGTTTTTCTTAAACTCTTCGGACAAAGGGGTTGCTAATCAGCATGGGACATTGTTTTGCCTTATTAATTTTATGTAACTGCTTATTCGAATGAAAAATAAAATATTATTTAAAAAATGTAACTCTTTTCCTGCTTATTTTGGGACATAGTGTGCCATTTAGTTGGCTTGTGGGGAATACCTGCTGTTTTTCCATGGTCTAATAAAACCTTTGGCATAGCTGCAGTTTCTCTTCCCTTACAATTAAGTGGACAAGTGCTTAGCACAAACCACAGAATCTTATTAAATTTAGAGGTCTCTCCAAGGACAAATTTCAGACCACAGCTTGTTCATTTGACTGCTAACAAGAAATAACTGCTTTTTAACTACTGAACAAAGCCAATTTTGGAAACTAATACGCGAAAAATTATGACCCAATTCAGCCTTGCAGGAGTGGTGCATCTGCTGCATGTAGTAACCCTCTTGTCTTTTTCTCCTCCTCTTCTTGTGCTACATGGCTGACAGGAAAAAAAGGGATTGTTAGTACCTTGGCATTGTACAAGCTATCTCCCAGGCTGGGGTGGGTCCAGAAAGGATGCAGTGAGACAGTCACGTCCCAGTTTGGCTGGATGAGTTGTCAGTGCAGGATCTGGCTGGAGCCCCTGTTTTTGCATGGCTTCAATGCCCAGGGGGTGAGTGCTACTGCCACCATATCCCCTCCTTTTTCCTGCTGCTGAATTCAGCGGGGAGAGCGGTAGGGAAGGGAAAAGGCCAACAGCAACATCAGTGTCTCACCCTGATCAGCTCGTGAGCTCAGAGCTACTGGTCATGCCAAGCTCCTGCAGGAGCCCATGCTGGACAATGAGCTCAGAGCTCACTGTACATGTGCAGCACAACCAAAGTGGGGGTGGGCTTGCCTTGTTCCTGGGTCTACTACTGTTATCAGGGAACTATCAACAACTTCAGATCATAATCTGTGGCAGGGCATTGCAGATAATGGAGGAACAAAGAGTAGCAGAATTCCCTGTTCCTTATTATTAAGCTCTTGAGGAGGGACCTATTTGCTACAAGAAGCTGTGCACTTGGGCATGCACTGCAGATTACACGGAAACCTACCTTTACATAGGGACTAGTGCTTGCTGAGAAGCCTGCACAGTTAGTTACCTGCCCAGGTCTTGTGGATGTTGAGACCTAAGACTGTTTGGAAGAAGCATTCCGTGAGTTCCAGTTCCAGCTCCTTTTCCATAGTCTCCCATTTAAGGAATTTGTCCAGGTTCCTCTGCTCCTACTCCTGCTGTGTGTACAGGAGTTCCTTGATGTTGGTGCTCATGGGAGTATGTAGATGAAATGAGGGGCATGGGTGCATGACACTTTAAAGCGGGATAAATGCTTTTGCACCGCTTTAATGGCATTGGTGCTTGCACGCGTTGGTGGCGTATTGCGCATGAATTCCAGCTGCTGTAACACATTCGGTGGAGTAATGCGCCTTAAGTGACTTTGGGGTGCAGCAAACTAAAACATCTCTCAGGAGTGGCTCAGGGGCTGTGCAGGTAGCCTGGCATCAGCCAGGAAGGACCAGCTCAGGAAGGCAGGCTCCACTGAAAAAAAAAAAAATGCTGCAAGCCTGATCTCCCCCTCCCTGAGCGTGTCTGCCTACCTGTGCTGTCCAGGGACCTGGTCCTTCCCTCCATGGCTGCGGTGCCCCCTGGGGCGACCCAAGCTGGGTACCTGCGGGTGGGTGCCGCCTGGGGGGCAGAGAGAAAGGGGCACCACTGCTATGGAGGGAAACACCAGCCCCCACTGCAGGCCAGGGACCACTTTGCCTGCTGCCAGCCTGCCCTCCGCTCTCTGTTGCCTGAGAGGCAGGTAAGACATGGGTGTACACAACACAAGGGTTTACTTCGCCCTAAATTGAAGTGTTGTTTTTAAAAACTCACTGCTTCAAGTTAGGGTGAAGTAAACCCCCGTTTTGTCTACACATGCCCTTTCTTTTGCATCTCCACACTGTCATTGTCCACAGATTGCTTTCTAATAGCTTCCTCACCAGTAACAGGCTCAGGTTCTTCGGAGGCTCAGGTTCCTGGGAGGATGGGTCTTCCCTTTCAGATAATGAAGTACCTGCAAAGGAAGTGAAAGTGCATCTTTTTGGATTGGTAAGAAATACATTTTCTCTGCATTACTTCTGTAAGATTAAGCCATGATTTGCAACTTACTTAAATCATCTTGGTGTGTCACCCCTTTTCATTGGCAGGCTTGGCCATTCAGAGGTAGCAGGTGAAAAGCTAGCAAGAAAACTACTTGTCATAATATATTCAAAAATATATCACAGACTGGGTTCACATTCCAGTAAAGAACTATCCTTGCTCCTTACTCAGTTAGCTTAATGTATTTGGCTTTAGGATTTGTGTGAAGTAAATGCTCAGCCTAAGTCTCATGCAACTTTTCTCTTTCACTGCAGATGTGGACGAATGCACTGAAAACATTTGTGGTCAAATGTGTGTAAATTATGAAGGAAGCTACACCTGCCATTGTGATGGTCATAAAGGGTTCAAGCTCTCTCAAGACATGAAGACTTGTGAGGTAAAACTGCCTGAGAGGTAAAAGTTGTGAGGCAAGTCTCATTGCGGGGCCACAGAAGTGGTGGTTTCTTGGTCACAGGATGAACTAGATTAGAAAAAAAATACTAAGATAATTCATGCCAATTTCAGAATGCTGGCAAAACACTGGAGGCAGTGGCATTGTGGCACCATTCCACAAAGCAGACACAGCAGTTCAGCTCATGAGTATTTCAACAGAATTTGGGCCATGCAGGGCACTTGCCTCAGCTTCCTCCAACCCCCCTCTCCCAAAATGACCCCAAATCCCTTTTCTAAAGGAAGGAAGTAGGCCCCTTTTTGGTTTAGTCATCCCTAGGGATTGGAATTGTGGTTTGGAAAATGGTATCGCACATTTTCCAGGTGTTTTCTTGCTGCGAGAACTTCCTCCTACCCAGTCCCACAGAATGACTTCAGACTTGAGCTGAGCTTGATTGGTATGAGTTGACTATTTTGCCTGGTCCCAGTTTCCATAGCTTTAGAAGAAAGTACTAAGTGTTGACCATGTGGTTTCACCAAATGCTGAAAACTCAATTCACTTCCAAAATAAGCTATTTTTAGGAACCAAAAGAATTTTAAGATTTATACTTGTTAGTGCCAGAAACAGCAGGACTGTAGAACATTTCAGCAGAAACCTTTCTTTGTCAGTTGTTTTCTTTATATTACTTTGGCGAGAGCTGGGCAGGTTGGGACTTGTAAGGGTGTTGAAACAGCTTCCATCCAAAACAGTCTTTGACACCATAGGAAGTAGAGGGGCTTAAATATTTCCAGATCAAAGCCTGATATTGTATCAGCACATATTTGCCAGAACTTGTTTTGTACTTACTAAAATTTAATACTTAGGCAACATGGGGAGCAAAGCCATTTCCTGTTGATAATAAAGTGGGAAGTCTATCCTTTTTTTCTCTATAAAGCATGACTCCTATTGCTGTGAGTGAGAGGTTTATTAACCCTCGTGAAGAGATGCATGAACAGAAAGGGCATCTATACACATGCTCTGGGGTGGAGGGGGGCACTTTAATTAGAGCGGTTCTGGGAGCTGCTCTAATTAAAGTGCCCACAGTGTCACATATATTCAATGTCCTGCACTTGAAAATCGCAGCAGGGTGCGCTTGGACTAACATGAATTAGCATGTGTTGGAGCAGATGTCTGGCATGTGTAATGGTGCCCAAAGAGTCTGAGCCAATATTTACAAGCTAGTGGCAGGTATTTTCAACTGGAATCCAAATATCCAATATATAATTCATCATTTAAGGGCAGACTTCTTATGCTATTTTAATTCAGGAATAACTCCATTATAGTCAGTGGAATGACTATCATGAACATGGTTTAAGATTAAGACATTTTAAGAAATGGAACTTTAACAAGTTAGAATATCTAAATGCAACATGTCTAGTGTACACTGTAGTACAGGGGTGACAGAGATATGGCCCACAGGTTGCATCTGGCCAGTGGTACCTCATCATTTGGCTCCTGCTGCTGGCCCTGGGTCTCAAGTTGACCCATATGACACACACAGCACACACTGGACTGGCCTGATGTGCAGGACTGAGAATAAATGCTGCACATGGCTCCCACTCTGGATCCTGTGCTGTATACGGCACCTGTCCGGCCAGTCTGGCACTCCCCTCATCATGCTGGATCCAACACCCATGGCACCCATTCCAGCTGGTCCACTGTGCCACACATGGGGCCACTACTGTGCCACACATGGGGCCTGCTCTGGCCAGTCTGGAGCAAGTGTTGCATGCAGGGCAGCTCCCAGACTGGCTGGAGTGGGCACCACATGCAGTGCAGTCCTGGATTAACTGGAGTAGGCACCATGGGTACTGTATTCAGCATAGGAGAGAGAGGAATCCATGGGCCCAATCTGGCGTGCGGGGCAAGCCCCACGCCACTTGTCCAGCCCACAGAGCCAGATGAGTTTGATATCCCTGCTGTAGCACATTGCAGCTGCTGGTTCTGCCACAGCTGTGTGCGACTTAGGTCCCTGCCACACGTTACACTTAAGGCATGATTAACCAATTAATTACATCTTAAGTTGTAACCCAGCCATGTGTTAAAGGAATTTATGGCATTATAAAACAAGGAATAAGCCACAAAGTTATTATATAAAAAATGTGTAGTAACTTTGTGACTGGTTCCTGTGACAGCATTAATTGAATGTGCGACCGGGTATGGCCCCACACCTGGGAGCCCAGATCAGCTGACAGGGCTCCACCGTGAGAGCTTGCTACGTGCTGGTGCAGGGGGAGCCTGGGGTTATGATCCCTGGCTCCCCTCGCACTGGCAATAAGGCTTGATGGGATCTGATGCACGATCCCACAATCGTGCCTCCTGCCATACACATGTGGATCACACATCAAATCCCATTGCACCTTTACCTGCACGTCTGGCAGGGACCTTATTCTGATATGTGATTGAAAAGAAGAGATTTGGTCCCAAAATAAAACTTCTGATTATCCTTTTACATCTAATACTAATTGTGACATGACAAGAGACAGAAAGAAAGTGCATATTGGATAGCAGAAATCTGTTCATAACATCCTATCTATTTAAACTGATGTCACTCAAAATATTACATTGTTTTTGAATACTAGGATCATCGCTCCTGAATTACAGAAATCATTCATAAATTGCATACACAGTAATACTTTGCAGCAGTGTAGGCCAGAAAATAAAGAACCTCCCTTAATTAAGGCAGCAGGGAATTTCTGTAGGTAGAATGTAAATACTTGTATCTAACTCTGATTTTAACTAGGGCCCCAGCCACAATTTTATAGTCATGGAATCATTCATTGCCTAAAGTGGTTATGACTTCAATTTTACATCTGTCCCGAGAAGATTCCTTTTTACAAGCCATTATATTGCATTAACACTGTGCTTGTATATTGATTCACTTTGACCTCCAAGGAAAGCATGCTTCTTATTGAACCAATCCCCCTCTCTAACATTGTAGGTGTTTTAGAGTTCAGGCACCCCAAACTCAATACAACCATGTGGCTTAGTATAAATGATGTGCTAGAATCCTAGTCAGGGAAAGGGAGTGTTCTGGTTTTGGACTGGACACCTACTCCTGATTTGCATGGCCAGCCTTTGTATCTGAGTTTGCCTCTATTAAAAACTATGTCACAACCTGCCCATATTTTCCCATGCATAAGAGACATTGAAAGGAGGTCTAAATGTAAGATGCACCTTACTAAAGCTACAAAATTGAAATCAGGTGTCAGTAACTTGAAGTCAGCCTCCAAGGTGCCAATAAAGCCTGGAGATGCTGGTGACAATCAGCAGGTTTAGATCGAGCAAAAAGGGTATTGCAGGAGGCTGTAGCAGTACCTGTTTTCACATTTTGGATCCTACCAGTGCATGCCAAAGTCTGGAACTCATTGTGTCACCATGTTCCTTCAGCGAGTTACTGGGTAAAGGGGAAGGAAGGGAAGCAGAGAGGGCTGTTGTGGCCCTACCTACCTTCTGCCCTACTTCCCTCTGGCAGTCACCTTCCCTCATTGGTCCACCCGTCTGAGAAATGCTGAGCTGCAGCTCCTGCTTCTTCCTTCCTTGCAGCCAAAGGAAACTATCTTTGTGGAAGTGGGACCCTCACATCAACACTATCTTCTTGTCCTCTGGTTCCATGCCACGCTCTCCAGCTCAGGGACACTCTTTTCTCTATCAGATGCAGTGAAGGCATGCACAATCTATACTCCAGCAAGACCTACCAAAGGCCCCCT